CAGAGTGATGGCCAAGAGGCACGTTAACTGGTATCTGTTGAGGATTCATTTCAGCTAGTAGAGGAGGATGGCACAGACTGACGGGAGCTCAGCGTCACATTTCCTGCCATTCAGGCATCCAGAGCCGGAATCTGCTAACAGGACAAACATTCAGTCAAGCTGAGGCGTCGTTATGTTATCTTCACATAAATATGCAGAAAAATGTGCATATTTCTGCAAATTTTGTGGAAATAATTTTGGTCTTTAAGGGAAACTGAATGAGTTCAAAGTGAAATGAAACATTTAAATTTGATTTACCATCAAAAGAGATCTCCAGACAGTTCTTCTCATCGTGTGAACTTTGCTCATCGCAAAACTTAGCAAAGTCATGGAAAGAGGAATCCACCCAGGACCAAGAAGGATCCTGCAGGACAAAATCAAACCAAGTCAACTCCAGATCGAAGATAAAACCTCGTTTTGAACTGTGTAAGGAGGATTTATCTACCTCTGATGTTTTGCTGCCTCCAACCCACACTGGTCCTCCATGATGCCCAGCACTTTCCATCTCTTTGTAAATCTCTTCAGCTTGTATTTCATCATACACAGCAGCGAGTGAACCTTCACCTTTGGATGCACAGTTTTCCTAAAGAGAAGGCAGAAATAACACAGAGTTGAAAAACACATAGAGAACGACATCATTGCAAACTCTGCTGTGTCTAAACCTGCTGTAAAATCAGCAGGTGAGTCTTCAGTGAAATGACATAAATTAAGGTTTTCATCAACCAGTGAACAAATGTTTGTCATGCAGCAAAACACAAACTGCTTTAATTGTTAGTTAGTTTCTCCACCATCACTTCACACCGTGAGAATCGCCTCTATTCTCATCATCATATTATTCATGTAGTTGTAAAGCACATTTTTAAAACCTTTCCACTTTTCTTATTAGAACCATCAGTGGATATAACAGATATAACATGTAGATGTGTGGGATAACACACACACACACACACACACACACACCTACACACGCACACACACACACAATGTTTAGACAGGATATCTCACAATGCCTTGCAAGATCAAATAATCAAATGAATAACCAATCAGACCACAGACCCAAACTCAAAACCTCAACTCACTCAGACTGAATTTGACTCTAAATAACAATGACTGTGAGGATGATGATGATGTTTCTTCTTCCTCCACCACTGGTGCACCCCAGGGCTGTGTGCTCAGCCCCCTCCTGTTCAGCCTAGGAAACGGTAAATGGCCTCTATCTGTTTAAAGCTTTATCAAATCCAAAGGACCCAAATGCTAAATAACCAAGATTCGCTTTGCACTGTGACTGTGAAGTCAGTAAAAAACATATAGGTGCTAAACTCTGAACATGAAGTAGGTTTTAGCAGCATGAATAGACGAGGTTTAACAGTAAATTGGAACCAATATTCACCCAACAATAAGAGATTTTTTACCATTTTGATGTGAAAAGTCTGTTCTCGGTTACCTTGGCCTCATTCCAGGTCATATTCTGGGGAACAAAGAGGAGGCACTGAGTGCTGTGCATCGTCCATCCATCAGGGCACGTGAAGTCCCCGTGATAGTCTCCATCTTTGAATAGTTATAATAGATTGATTAGTACCGACTAGTTAAATGATTCTGAATCAGTGTAATGAGTTAGAAATGGGGGAAACTGACTAGTTACACCCATCCAGTCACCACCGTAATCTAAAAAAAAAACTCTCTTTATATTTACAATTTAACATTTTATAAAACTTCAAATTGTAAATGATCATGTAAATTTTCTTTGTTTGTCAAATTTACATGACACAAATATAATAGTGCTAATAAAACCAATAAAAAAGATTTACCTTCAGTTGGTGAATGATCAGGATAGAAAGGATCGTCATGAGTGACCAAATCATCTGGAACTTGAAAAGCAGAATTTAGAAGAAGAGTCTTCAATTAAATAACTAAGTAAAATGTGAGTTTTGTACATGAATGTTTGTTTTTTTTAAAAAAAAACAACAAAAAAAACAAACTCTGTTTATATCTACAATTTACAATTTAACATTTTATAAAACTTCAAATTGTAAATGATCCTGCACAACTTCTTTGTTTGTCAAATTTACATGATGCAAATATAATAGTGCTAATAAAAAAACATAAAAAAAAGATTTACCTTCAGTTGGTGGATGATCAGGATAGAAAGGATCGTCATGAGTGGCCAGGTCATCTGCAGCTTGAAAAGCAGAATTTAGAAGAAGAGTCTTCAATTAAATAACTAAGAAATGATCAATGTTACATGTCTTTTAAACGTTATATTTAATTCACTGCAGATTATATATCAAACGACTTTCTGAGTCATAAAAGTGAGGTTTGCACACACATTTTATCAATTCAACAGAGCTTGTTGTGATTCATCATCATGTTTTCCTTATTGGCACAAAGAATAGTTCATAAAAGAAAAAACTGACAAAGATTTACCTTCTGCTGGACTAACAGGTTCGTCTGTGACTGGAATGGCTGCAGACAGGATGAAAACATGAATAAATGAAAATAATCTATTTAATAATCTATCAGTGCAAACATTGCTTAATCAGCAGATTTTATTAGACTTTTCAACTTTATTTTCCACAACTGTACATGAATCCAGAGACACTTTCAAAGATACTTTGCATGTAATTAAAAAAAAAAAAAAGCATGTTTTTGTTGCTAAGTAATGGGATTCTCTTTTGTTACCAATGTTGCACCTGTTTTAAAATCCCTATTTTATTCACTTGAGCTCATTGAGAACAAATTATATTATTCAGGTTTAGGAAACAGAAGGTTTGCAAACAGTCAAAACAGCTTCAAAGTCAAAAAGTGAGTTTTGCACACGAACGGTTTCAGTGCACAAGAGCTGGCAGCAGACAGAGCTTGTTGTGAAATTTTAACCCAGGATAGATAATTGAGGTCAAGTGAAGGTCATGGCAATAAAATGTAGAGATGCAAACACAAAACAGATGCAGGGTAAACAAAGATTTTCCAGAACTGCAGCTGCATAGATATCTGACAGGGATTTCTCTTTCAGATGCTGTAATTGAAGCTGTAATTAATAACCAAGAGGTTATTAATCTTTGTAGATTTCCTATTCTACAGAGTAGTTGCTCTACACTTCAAACGATGTAAATACCAGCACATACTGCTGCAGTAAATACTCACAGACTGCATGGACCAAAGTCAACACGGCGAATCCAAACCAAGACAAACTCAGGATCTTCATGGTGGAGATGACTGGGATGCAACCTGAGGTGATAACTTTATGTTCTACAGGCAGAAACATAACGCATAACTTACATGAATCCAACACAAACATCAAATGACAAAACAACCATCTTCATCAAATTTGTGGTAAAGATTTACCTTCTTGTCTTCTGTCTGGTGAGTTTCAGCCTGCAGCTTCAGTCTCAGTTTGCCTGGTTTGATATAAGGCAGAGGGAGCAGCACCGTGACTCCTCCCCACCCAAAAAACGACGTTCACAGGCGCTGAACAGGATCAGACATCCGTACTCAGTAACAACAAAGACAAACGGTGAACAGATCCAGACTGCAGTGCGATTCGTTGGAACTTTCAATAGAAAGAGCTTCTTGTTTTCCAGGAATCTGAACAAACAACACCCTGGATAAATATTCAGTTGAATTAATGTATTTACTTACCATCATGTATTTACTCAGCACGCAACAAAATGAGGTCAGAGGTGAGCGAAAACAAACTATTAGCTCAAGAAATGTTAAACTGAAAGATAAATGGGCGCAGTTAAGTCTCACTTAGCAAATATTTTAATCTTATCAGCATCTTTCTGTAAGTAGCGTGTTTAAAAATGAGCCACAGTGGCAACTTGATAGAGAATCTGTGAAGGGAGATGAAGGTTAGGGTGATGGCACAGAGGCCTTCCAACCTCTGAGACGTGAAGCTCATTGCAAAATAAAAAAAATAAAAGAGTTAAAGTACTAGTGGATGGATAAAGATGGATCAGAACAGAACAGAACAGAAATTTGATTAAACTCAAATTCAAAACCAGTTTATTGATTTCAAAGGGAAATTAAAGGGAAAGAAAGAAAGAAAGAAAGAAAGAAAGAAAGAAAGAAAGAAAGAAAGAAAGAAAGAAAGAAAGAAAGAAAAAAAGAAAGAAAGAAAGAAAGAAAGAAAGAAAGAAAGAAAGAAAGAAAGAAAGAAAGAAAGAAAACTCATTTATCAAATTATCTTCTGCTTTGTTACTGCATTGCAACCGTTGCACCACCAGGTGTCACTGTTGGACCCGGATGTGTCTAAAGTCTAAAAAGGTTTCCTCACATTTTGGCCAGAATGCGTTAAAAATATCAACATAATTAAATAAAACATAATAATTACATAAATTTCTACTCTTCAAAAAAGTTAAGGTTGAATTATCTTATCAGGGTTAATAAATGAAACATTTAATGTAAGAAACAAGAGGAATATTCATCTGAGAAAAAAATAGTAACATAGCTTCCAGTATTTTATTCTTATTCCTGTTTTTTATACATTTTATATTCTAATTTCTGTGTGAACCCACTTCCTTTGACTGACAAAAAAGGAATTTCTAAATCCTCTGATCAATAATCCAGTTTTCTCATTCAGAAATATCTTAATAACGGTTGATTTATTGAGACCTACTTCATTCAAAATTGAGTAAATAAATAGTGTTTTTAATAATTAATAAATTATACATCAAATAAATAAATTTACCCATGAAATTAAAACAGAATAATTATAAAAGTATTGATTTGTTTATTTCATTTTTTCTTTATTTCACAATGACGGCTTACCTTGTGACATTTTATTTTTTAAATGTATGTTACACATTTTAATAAGATTTTTATTCATGTTCTGATATACAAATACGAGGCCAGGTTCTTTTTCTGTGGGGTGGGTCAGGTCAAAGTTCAGCAGATTTGTTTTTTATTAGTGAAGCAGCTGTGAATGTGTTTGTTTCAAATATATGAACATTTGTTTTTAATCCATCCGTTAAGAGAGGACACTGCAAAAAATGATGCAAACATGAGCAAAAATATTTCCAGCTGCCTCCTTTATTTACATACCTGAGCCTAAACGTTAATACTCACCAATCTCCACATGGTGGCGCTAGTAAACCAAACAGTGTCTGACACGCTGATGAGTTTCAGGAACTGACAGATGAATGTTAAAAAAATGATGATTTTTTTAAAATATATATTTCTCAAAGTCTGATGTGAGTAAAAACAGAGAATCTGAGAGGATTTCCTGTCTGGATGTGAGACTAAAGGAGCCTCGATGGAAGGTTTTCATTTCAGAAATGCTAAAATCCGGTGGTGTTACGTTTCACAAGTAAGGAAAAAAAAAACCATTCCTAATTTAACAGTGAAGGAGTTAAGGTCAGAGGAAACAGCTGAGCAGTTGTGGGACCAGTCGGTGCCTGATGGGGCCCAGCGCTGCCACGCTCCTGGTGCTCTACGAAAACAGACTTTGTTTTTCCTGCTGGAGATGAAGTCATGCTTGATGGAGTCGAGATAAGTTTTCATTTCTTTCTGTTGACATTCTCCAGAAGAGTAAAAATGAAAGACAGAAAGATTAAATTACCTGTTTTTTCCACTGAAACAGGAAACTGATTTAATCTGAAGATCATGGAATGAAGTGGGACCAGTTTTAAAGAGAAAATGGTGAAAGAAGCCTCACATTATTCCCTCTGAACTCCATGTCCTGTCATCAGTCACAGCATTTCTGCAGGCTGAGGCCAAAACACTGGACAGAAAATGATAGTAATAGTAATTATAACTTAATTAACTACAGAGTCAATGAAAAAACACTATACACTGCTGTTCACTTCAAACTTATGCATTAATTTTAGAAATAGAAAAAGTTTTGTTTGTTGTGAAAATGGGAAGTTCAGGTGTAAACGCAGCATCAGGTTTAAAGATTCACACAAAAAACTCAAAAGTTTTAAAAACTACACAAAAAAAGACTCTCATAGTCAGAATAATAATTTACAAGACTAAATGGGGAAATACTGAGCAATTAGAAATATGAATATCTGACTTTTATTTCATTCTATGCACAGTCAGCATTCATAAAGTGGCAGGAAGTGATGTAACTGCCTATTTCCTGCCATAAAAACACTTAACTCTGCATTATCATGTCTTACACTGATCTTTTTTAATGTTTGTGCCAGCATATTTATCAGATTAATTTGCATAATAATGTGTTTTATGAGCTGTAATCATCTTTGCAAAGCCTGAACTGAGGTAAGGACATTTATTTCCTCATACCAGCAGCAGCAGCGGTCCAACCAGTTTCTCTGATGAAAGAGTTTCATCCTAATGATGGCGAAGCAAAACAGATTCCTTCAGCAGAATCTGGTTCAGTTCTGAGGAAACTGGGCCGCTGTTACCAGAAGGAGCTCTGCTTTCTTTTCATCTGCTGTATAAAAGCTGAAGAATCAAAGTTACGACGTGAGATGGATCGGTCTCATCCTGGAGGTAAGGTGTGTTATTTTTATGGTGATAATACGGAAAACAAATCATCAAAATTAATGTTCGCAATAAGAAACTAATCAGTCCTGATATCTTGATTATGAAACTCATGTTGGATTATTTAATATTTGTTTTATAGTGACTAAGTTTATGTTTACATCACTAACCTGCAGATCAACCGCAGAGGAATAAAGAGAAACGATAAAGAAAAACAATTAAACATTCAGAAATCTAAAATAGAAAAACTATTTTTATTTTGTTTAACACTAATAAATGGGTTCATATCTCTGATTTACTGACTTTTTGGTTCATTTATCATGATGTTCATTCTACTTTTCAGAAAAAATATGTTGGTTTATAGAGGAATGAATCTAATCTAATCTAATCTACTTTGGTAAGAACTTCACTATTTCAGATTCATTTGTGAACAAATGTAATCTGTGTAAAAGTTCCTGAAACCTAATATTTATTTATTTATTTCACTTGCTGGTTTTATTATTTAGTCAGAACAAACTGAAACATTAATTTACTGATTTTACAGCCTCCATCAGCATATTTACAGATTTCAGATAACTGCTAAATCAGACGCCACAACAAACAAATCCACTAAAGGTTTTGTTTGGACCAAAAACATAACAATACAAGCACATTAGAAAGTGGTAAAGTAGCTTTATCAAATTATTTGTTTTTAAATTAAATAAATAACAGTATGTTGCCATATTCATACTGTGAAACAACCTGCATTACTTCCAACAAAAGAAGGGCTTCTAACATGGCAGGTTGAATTTTACTTTAAAAAACAACATTTTGTTTTTCCCAAATAAACGTTTTTGAAAATGAGAATAGTACATTTTATGTTAACATTCCTGACCTTATAGTTTAATTATCTGTCAACATCACAGCAGCAATTTTTTGAGATGTTGTTAAAACGAGATAGTAGGAATTGAGACAACAAGCATCAAGTTGAAATATCCTGAAACTAACCTAACAAATAAACCAGGTGAAATGTTTAAAGCTCTGCAGCAGCCGTGACTTTATCATGTAAAGTCTGATGTGTTTGTGAAGATAATAAATATTTTCTCTCTTCTTTGTTCACAGGTGGATATGAGTCTAAAAGAGTTTATAGCAGGTGTCATCCAAAGCCTACCTGTGTCCACAGGTAAACGTCTGCAGTCAGGGTTCGTCAGTTTGAGCTCAACATTCAGCTTTAGGCTTTATGTCTTCATTTAAAGTTTCATCCATGATTACATACTAAACCTGTTTGGCCTGGTACCTTTTCACATTTTCTACTGATCATTTCACACCTTTTCTTTCTATTCTCAAACTCAAACTCTTTTCTCCCTCTTTTGCAACTTTGCAGAACTCAAAAGTGCCACCTACTGGTGCAACTCGGTATTTGTGCACAATTTCTTAGCACTAATGCTAACTAGTGATGCTATTTATATCAAGGCTAAACCAGCTAATGTGTTGGGAAGATTCATGTTCATTTATATGTGAACTGTTTCTGAGAATATAATGATGATTTCAATTAGAAGTTAACTGTCATTAAAAAAGGAAGAGTGTTTTGCTAACTTTTGTTTTTTCTCTGTTTCTCTCATTTCTAGATGATTTTGTGCAGGAATTCCTTCATGTTCTCCACCAGGACTTGTTTCCCTGTGTGGTTCCAGTGGGAGTGGCAGCTACCTTCATGTCCGTTCTCTCGGCCGTCTTTGTGGCATATAGATGGAACCGAACCCCAAACAGCAAATCCTCCGGTAACTGCAAGATGCTGTAGGAAAACATGATAAATGTGATGTTTTGTCCAAACAGGTGAATAATGATGCACAATCCAGGCATTTCTAGCTACATGTCCTGACATGAAATATGTTTCTGACAGAAGTAAGTGAAGGTGATGCACTCGGCACTGTAGGAGGTAAAGAGACACAGAAGACTCATGTGAGTGGAAAAAAGTTTTTTATGACCTATTAGAAAGTAACAAAAACAAAGAAATTAAACGTTGATCTGCAGAAACGTCTAGATCAGCTGTTATGGCATCTGAAGGCAATGTTACCTACAGGGGGTAATTGTTCTATTGTTTGCATTTTATTACTAAATATAATCCCAGGAAGAAGAAGGAAAATCTATCAAATTAACACTGAATGCACAGAGAATGAGGTTCATACGAATCAAAATATGAGAGTAAAGTCATTATATTACAAGAATAAAGTTGAAATATTATGGCTTTATTCTGATCATTTAATTTTTAATTTTCTCTGTAGTAGAATATATAAATATGACTTATAAAAATAGCTTCAATTACTAACTTAACGTAATCTTGCATTGAGACAATTTGATATGTTTAATAATCAAAATGTTAAAATGGTTGTGCAAATTTCATATTTTATACAAATTTCTATGCATAAACTATGCAATTTAGCTGAATGAAATGGAAATAGAGTTCTCTTAAAAAAACAAACAATAAAACTATTTAAACAGAGAAGGACTTTCTGCAGGACGGCTGGTTTATTTGCTGAAGTTCACCCGCCATGACTCCGTCTGCCTTAAATCTCAGGATTCCCTTCCTTCTGTGCTAAAGTAAACTGGTACCATGACTCAGCTATTTTACATCATTCTGTCCACATTTCATGTTGCTCCAGGAGTAAACGGTTCTGCTCGGCCTGATTTAGCTAAAAGGAGAAGTCAAGGCTGATCGCTCACTGAGGTTTTACTGTAAACCAAACAGTTTCAGCAAACAATGACGAGAGAACGAGACGATGCACAGAGAAAATAAAAGGACACAGGAGGCTTCAGTTTGGCTGATGACCTCTGAACTCTGTTACCACTGCTCCATCTAGCGTTCAAATGGGAGTGTTGCAGTTTACTCAGGTTTATTTTCATTTTTAATACAAATACTGTTAAAAAAAAAAACAGTTTCTTTATTTTTCTGTATTATTATTTTTTACATTCTACATCACAAAGACACTTTGCACATTTTAAAATTTGTCAAAATAAAAATATTTAGTTGGAAAAAGAGAAAAAAAATAATTAAATTGTGTTTATCCATTTTTTAAACTACATTTCTGAAAGACTTTAAAGTTTAATATATTAAGTGGGAAAATAATTGTTTTCTGTCTGACTTTTTTTGTCTATGTGGATATATTTTTGCATCTCCCATTAAAAAAAACAACAATAAAAACAAATGTAAAGTGAAATTTGCTGTAAAAACTTCTGTAATTTTGCTTCTGTTAAAGTCTTTTTTTGGTTCAGGTGTTAATGTCACAGATACAATATAATAATTATTATATTAGATGTAAAACTAATATAATATTTTTTACAGCATAAAGAAAGTCTTTATTCAAACAAACATTTTACTAAATGTTACTGATTGTTTATGTGTAAAAAGAAAATCAGAGTCTGTGAATCTTCATATTAAGCATGAAAGTTTTTAACATATTAAGAGGAAAAATAAACATAGCTGTTAGTTTTTGCTTGTTTAGTCTCCCATATTTCTCCTCTGGGCTGAATGTGTTGATTCTGGATGAAACAAAGACATGATTTAAATCAGGAAGGATTATGCTGAGAAACAACTAGTGATGATGCGTATCGGCCATAAGGGATCATGGGAAAAGTTTTAAAAAACTGAACATGAAGCTTCAGATTTATGGGGAAACATCAGTGCCTCTGCAGAACATGTGGTTGGCCTCTGGTTGCATCTGAATTTAGCTGAACTC